CTGCATTGCTTAGAATGAAATGATTAAAAATGATAAATGGACTGAGAAGCTAAAATTGTGAAATTACATTAAGTTTATAAGACAAACGGTGCTTACTCATTCCCCCACGAGAATGAGATGTGACACAAGGTCGGATTAATGTGGGGACCCGAGCGCGTACACTCGGGCAGGGGCAAAAATTCCCCTCAGCCACCGCAACCGTCGGTTGCGCCGGCCTCGGTGCGAGCCCCGATCCCTTCCTCTTGTGCAATGGGAGGGCACGGCCGCGGGCAGCTGTTCCCCATGGCAGTATAATTTTCCTCAGTTGCCCCTCTGTCCTTTGACATAGAAGCCCCTGAGCGCACTCTGTCCAACGACAGAGACGCAACTGAGTGATGATAGATAATGTGCATAAATTACATGATACGTCCATGCATTGAATATTGCAATCACATCTGATTTGGGGGTTCTGCTATGTATTTAGAGGCTTTTGATAAAATCCAAAGTATCTGCAATGTTATTAGTCCTGACCAGGCATCTCGCCTATAGTCAGTTTTCCACAAACGTAACGTAGTTTCGTTTTGCATTTTCTATGTGTATGTTTATAGTGATTGTTCTGACCAGTATTCTTTGGTCTTTAGGAATTTAAGTGCAGTACTAGATCCGCAACATTGTACATTTCAGTTAGCTAGATATAACCGAAGGTTCTATGCTAACAGTCTCTTTTCTCGAACTTCTTGCATGTGATACAGTCTTCCTTCATTTTGTTTGTCAATCATTTTTTATCTTCAAAAATTTAAATGCAATGTCAATTATCATCTTCTGTCTCTTTTAAATCCGTTCTTTTATTGTCCTCTCGACTTAATAATATTTTTCTTAGATCCTTTCATATTTCGTGTTCACTTGTCTCTTTCTATCGCTTGGAGTGAAATTATTAAAAAAAGAAAAAGTGAAACGTCTGTGCTAATTATATTCTCTTTTTCTCCCTAGTTTTTCTTGCGCAGACATTAAAATAGTATTACTTTCTTAATCTTACCTTTATTTCAAATCCTTTAGTTGTGGATAGAAATTGTGGACATTCATTTCCTAATATGAATATTGTTCCGAGTAGAGAATATTTCTTGTTATTGTAGATGTTGATACTGACTGAAACTGATTTAGTAAAATTTCCATTCAGTTCTTTATAAACTCGGGAGGTTATAGTCTTCATATCGCATCTCGTATTTATATCAATCTAGAGATTCGCAATCGGGAGTAATGGATAGCGGTTCGAATTGAGGAATCGGAGTGCCGAGTTCGAATTACAGTCGAACCCGTTACATTCGTATACGTGCTAATACCCTTGGGAAAGATATGAATGCTCTCCTCCTCCCCCAGGTATGAGTAAATAGAAGCACAGACCGAATTCAATAGCCTTCGATGGCAACTGGTTTACCACAGAAATAAATGGCAATCTCCGGGGGGAAAAATCTGCCTCGTCAGTCATGTCAGAAAGATACATGATCCTCTACACGTGTATCACGCATGGCACATATATGACTGATTAACAGATATGTCAACGCGAACTTTTTTGTCTGTAAAGATTTGTACAGTGTAGTTCTTAGGAATGTATTTTCTTTTCGCTTCTTCTGGAACTATTATTTTACTGTTGTTGTTATTATTATTATTACTACTATTATTATCATTATTACTATTATTATTACTATTAATACTATTATTATTTCTATTATTATCATTATTACTATTATTATTACTATTATTAATATTACTATTAATACTATTACTATTATTATCATTATTATTATTACTATTATTATTACTATTAATATTATCATTACTATTATTATTAATAATAATGTTAATATTATTATTACTATTATTATTATTACTCTTATTATTATTATTATTGTTTTTGTTATTTTGTTCGTTAGTTAACTTAGTTACTTAACACGTACATTGCGTCTCCTCACTGTCACCTCTGCACTGTTCCGTTCTGATCGTGAGGAAAGACGGTAAAGACATATCAGAGAGGTTGTTGGGTTTCAGTGAGAAAAAGAATGATATTAAAATAGTAAGTTTTCAAATATTAACAATGTAACTGTGAAGTTTCAACAGGAAATTTATTGTCTTGGAACGTGCCAGGAGATTATTCAATCATTAAGCTAAGAATTACAATTCATCACAAGATTCAAGGAGAAAAGCCGAGAAAGTTCCACCAATATTTCTTGTTATTGTTATTAATATTATTGAATAACAGTAGAGCATTCAAAGTGTCGCTGATGCATGAATATAAAAAATCTAAATTTCCCATAGACTTACATCAAATGCATACATCAAAGTCAAATATGCGTGACATTTTCAGAGGTGTTAATAAAATCAGTCGTTATCATTGAATAAGGGCGCAATTATAAATACATTCAAGTGAACGAGACAAGTATCTTCTGTTTGAGATTGTTTACATATATACTTAAGTCGCCTTAGCTGACTAACAAACTTAGAAGCAATTCTTTCGATAGCCGGCTAAGATGGTCTTCCTCTACTTCCGGTTAATAACGGACATGCACAATTTCCTAGTAGATATGTTCAACAGATCTTCATAGGGCAACTAACAAATTTTTCGTATTCAACGGGATAGTTACTGCATCCGACATTAATATGCGAATACAGGCATGCATATATTAAAAAATAGTCAAACTGATTAAGATCAGAAACCCTAAGATTAATACCTGGTGTAGCAACAATATTATTTTATTATTATTATTATTATTAGTAGTAGTAGTAGTAGTAGTAGTAGTAGTATTTGATATCCTCTCCGACAATTATGGGTTTTGGCCGGGTGATAATGACCATATCTGAACTTGTTACCGCAGAGACCCACCCGAACAGGGATAACTTCGGATGCTGCTTCGTCTATTTCTCTGATTCACCCTGTAAAATTTTGGTACCTCACGATTTTCAATTAATCTGCCTTCGCAATGTTCTTATTCCAAGGTACTGCAACCCCTGTCAAGTTGCATTCGTGGAATAATTATATGTATAGCTATTTCGTTGATGAATTATATCAGATCGATTGTTTCAGCAAAAGTTTTTATTTTTATTGAAATTGATCGTATCTCACAGGAGCTTCAGTTTCACATTCTTGGTTAGTGATGGTGGTGGATGTGTGCTTCTCTGCTCACTTTTTCATTCCATCATCTCCCCCCAAATATGGGTTAAATCGTAGAAGGTATAAGGCATTATCATTATTACTCGTTAAAACATTGTGAATAAAATTAAAATATTCATACATAAAAAATCGTAAATACTTTTCGGATTTAAATAACCTATTAATAAACTGTAAAAACTTTCAGTTAATTGCCATAGTGTTGCTTGTAATCTTTTTCTTTCAACCGAGTGCAGTAACTTGAAATTTAGTTGTACATTTTAAGTAGCTTTCCGAAACAGCTTATATAATGGTAGATTAGCGGTTCTATCGACGGGTTACTTGATGGAATTTGTCATTAAAACCGGCTCCTTATCGACCCGGCTTCTAACACGTATCAGAGGAAATGTCCCAATCTGTTATCATAAAAGAAAGTTAACTTCTGTGTTAGCATGTTGCAATCATTTCGGAACGGCATGAATCCGTTTCTCCTCCACTGTTAAACTGGTTTATCGGGGACGATTCATTATTTAAGCAAGCAAAAGGACATCAAAATCTTTCCGCAGAATCATAGGAAACTCATGTTATAAAGAAAACAAATGTATAGGGACCTATTCTCACATGTGTTCTAAAAGATGATGTCCTTTCAGAAAACAAAAGAAAAAAAAACAAGCAGTGGTATCTAGTGGCAACCATTTTTATTTTTTTTTACAAATACTCAACATTCTCGTCTGCATTCTCGCTTTCTTCAACAATGCTGTTAGCGGAATTGATTTTCTTCTTCACATATTAAATATTTCCAGTGTTTTTCAAGAATAATGGCGGTCGATCAAAATTATGCAGTAATTGATGCCACTGTTGCTTATTTAATATACCACAATGCTTTAGTGGTCCCACAAGATCTGGATCATTTGTATAGATTCTCACCTTTTAATCTATGTTTATTTAATGTCTATACTATCTTTACATGAGTTTTACTGTGTTTCCTTTTATTCTCGACATGGACAGAAAGAAATCGTAATTATCGAGTAAATAAAGTAATTATATTGTTTTACCTTATAAATCAGTTTTCATATTTTTTTCAAATTTCAGTCACCTCCCCTAGTACACATCTCGTTTGTTTTATATTTTTTTGCCTTGATTGTTTTTTTTAATTTTTTCTTAATCTAATTCACTTTTACTAATTGTTGTGCTATATATATATATATATATATATATATATATATATATATATAGATAGATAGATAATATGCAAATATATAAATATATATCACATACATACATACATTAACAAGAGGATAATTGTCAATTACAGGACAGAGTAAGGATATATATGAACATATATATATATAGGTGTTTAGCCTTTTTATATATATATATATATATATATATATATATATATATATATATATATATAAACTTATTTATCATATGTGTGGTGTAATTGTTAGCAAGCTTTTTCTCATTATAATATATTATAGCTGAATAGTGTGTTCAAGTGAGTTGGGTCCTTACTTTGTGTTATATAATTTCATATTAGTGCCACATCTAAAATACGCTTTATCATCATCATGATCATTCGACCTTAGTCGGCATGATCGACTCAATGAGAACGATCCCTCCTTCTCCTGTATAGTTTGTACTACCCCAGGGCTACATATAGTTTTGAATTCAGAGTTATTTACTCCTAGAACGGTTTCCACCCAAGGCTACAGAACCCAGTCTGTCCTGCTGTTATACCCATAGCTTAGAGGAGAAGAAGAGGATTCATACATTGCCTAATGGTGTTAGCACGTAAGTGAATGTCATGGTTCTTCAATCCGATCCGCTGTACATTACTATTCTACGCGTAGAAGATCATCGCATCTATAATGTCTTTATGTATTCTGCTCAATTCTGTATTACTTGCCTCTTTTTCATATTCTTCTACTATTTCTTTTTACCTAAGTATACTTATATACTTCTTCTTCTCCTCTTCCTTGGCATTCTTCTTCTTCTTCTTCTTCTTCTTCTTCTTCTACTGCTACTATTACTACTACTGCTACTACAACTACTTCTTAATCTTGACGCTGTTCTCATCTTATTCTACTGTCATTTCACTTCTTACCGTCTTCTTTTTCTTAATCTTGACACGTCGTTCTACTTTTGTTCTTCTTTTCTTATTGAATTCTTCCTTTGCAAATATAAATATTTCCTTCTTTTACTTCCTAATTCAATCTTCATTACGTCATCTAAATCTTGTCCCGTCTTCTCTTTCTTCTTCTCACGTCACTCCTCTTTATTTCTTCGTTTCTTATTTCACTCCTTCATAATACTTTCTCTTTGTCTTCATCTTCATTTCTTAATCGTGACCCTTATACATTTTTCTTCTTTACTCTCACCTCACCCTCTTTTAATTCTTTCTCTTTTTATTAACCTGCCCAGCTTCTTTCTCGTCCTTCTTTTACTATTCAGTCCTTCTACTAAGTCTTGATTCTTCCCTTTCTCCTTCAATCCTTTAAAACCTTTTTCATCTTTCTTCCCTTCCTACAAGTTCATTCGTCTGTTGTTTTTATTTCTTATTCAAACTTTTTTTTTTCATAACCTTGTCGCTTCTTCTTCCTCTTACACTTTTTCTTCACGTTTTTTTCTTTATTATTCTTGAATTTGTATTCATCTTTCTCAATTCTTTCTCTTCTTGTTATTCTTATTTCTCAATCTTATTTTCTTATTCACCCCTTCTAAATTCTGACAGTTCTTCACTTTCTTGCTCTTTATTGCTCTTTCAAGTCTAATTTACTTCTTCATAATATAGTCTCTTCTGTTTTCTTCTTCTGGCCAGACTCATGATTAACATCCTTCATTACAATAGTGTTCAGGGAAATGTAATAATGTGTGAGGAAGAAAATCGACATAGAGCTAAAGGGTTTCACTGAAAAGCCACCATCAAGTTGGCAATTATGAACAGAGGCCGACTAACTACCGACACACCCAACGTCTCAGGCCACCGAATTTTATCGCCACTTTATAACCCTTAACCTTTAAGCTAAAAGCTTTCGGGATGTCGACGTCGGTTTGACCACATCATTAGTAATTATCCAACAGTAATCGATGATAGAAATGGAAAATTCATTTTGTCGTCGAAGCACAGTTGCTTCAGGCTTACACTCACATGTCCCAAACATTCGCTTACAAACATCCAACTCACACTTTTTTATATATATATATATATATATATATATATATATATATATATGTGTGTGTGTGTGTGTGTGTGCGTGTGTGTGCGCGCGTGTGTGCGTGTGTGTGTATGTATCTATCTATCTATATGTATATCATATTTCTATGTACAGCAATGGATTATGAATGTGATCATCGTTTCATGTCCTGTTAAATCTGACACTAATGTGCTAGTGGTGTAATATTTACTGACTTGGATCGAGAAAACAACTAGTCGAGATCGAATTCTATTTCTTTACTTTCACTTTCACTTTTACTTTCTCGCCAATAGCGTCAGGAAATGTATTAATCCAGGTCCTTCCGCCATAAAAGATACGGATTAAATGTTAGGGATGACCGGTCTCCTTAAGCTTGGTTGGCAACCAGTCTATGAGATGAGCAATTTGTTACAATAAAGCAAAAACATATTGAGTCTATGGCCCCATACTCTATAGATGGTGTATAGAGAAACACAGAAAGAGACAAAGACACAGAGAGAGAATTTGGCACACACTTTTACGCCAAAAATATACAAACACATATACAAACAAATTTATTTTTTTATGTCTGTATAGGATGCTAATTTTTTTTTTTAAATTATCGGTACTGAAGCTATAAAAAATCTACAACACGGTATTTAATCTACTTCAGATTTAAAGCCTTCTGATGTTACACATTTTATCCAACCTCGTTTCAGTTAAGGGAAAAAAATCCAGGTAATCATTTTTTTTGAAGAGCGAGAATCTGTCTCTTTGCATTCTCCGGGATGTCCTCGATGTCTTCATGTGTTCATTTCAAGTGGAATTTTATTCTTGAAAGAGAGAAATGTCGCACCAAAACGATACCAAATCTACGCTAAAAGGACAGGTACATTGTCATGGGCGATTTGCCACTCAATGAACAGATGCAATTTTGTCCCTTTCCGACGAAGAGCATCCCTCACACACATCAACACATCACTGTAGTACCGTTGTTTAGTGTTATAGCAGGTAGATAAAATTCATAAAGAAAACTGTCAACAATGTCGTGCTTCCGTCGTTCTCAGAAAAATTTGGAGCTTCCACTACAAAAATTTCCGTATATTATACGGTTTTGAGTCCTGTCGGAGGACACATATTTTGTATAAACTTTCAAGCTCATTCAAACCGTTAAATGTAGTTAATATTATTCATTGTAAACGGAGATTATTTTTTCAAATATTTGTATCTATAAATATAACGTATAAAAAAAAAATATTAAAACTTACTCCATTTCATAATGTATGACGTCATTTGTTTACGTTAAGATATGCTTCTAACAGATATGAATGTTGATAGAAAATTTGTGTTTAAAAGAGTAATTTGACTTTGCTAACCAGACGCTTCATCTGCAGCTAAATAGTATAGCACGTCAAGATATATATATATATATATATATATATATATATATATATATATATATTTGTTTCTGTGTGTATTTAATATTATTACGTAAGCGAAACTACATGCATAAAGACATTCATAATAATGACTTGTCGCCTTATGTGAGTATTCCTGCATGCTATGGTGACTAATCAATGCCAGTTAGCGATGTCTGTTCAAACGTATTTGTGTTTGATCGACATTCACAGAGAATAACTATAGTTTATACTGCCACAATGTTCAGTAAACCTTAGTTGTACTTTCTGGGAGAGAGATGTTCATTATGACGTGATCAATAGTTTGAATAAAAAATAGCACACCCTCGCTCAAGATTACTTATAACTTCATGCTAGCACACTCATGGACAACTATGGTGTCAGCGGGTAGGATGTTTCTCAGGAACTTCCCAAAGATGCTTACCGCTTGAAAGGCTTCCCTCAAATCTCATCATGGTCGACTAATTTATCTGAAGATTTCGACCACATTACGATTCGAAACGGATCTCATGATTAGAAAATGAACGATTTAAACACGCGGCCACACGTACATTCATGGTGACTGCCACACTCTACTGGAATGAAAGCCGCCTTTTCACCCCTCGTATAATTTATTTCCCTCACGTGTCGGCAACTTTACCTCCTAAGATAACTTTTGAAACCAGCATTTATACTCTGCATCCTTTGTGTCTGTGAATGGCAATAAAATATCTGATATATTCAGATGGATGAACAATAATCATCGCATGTAAAACTAACGCAATAATCAATATATATCTCATTACAAGCAAAATCAATGGATACCTGATGATGGCTAGTGGTAATTGACTGAAACATAGTACTTATAATATATCAACTAAGGTGGGCACTGATCATTGTACTCAGAATATTTTAAGGTGTTGTAGATTTTCGATTGCGGAAACCTCTTCCGGCTTCTTGCTTTCCAGACAATTATGATCTTAAAAAATTTTAATGCAATGTCAATCGTTGTCTATTGTCTTCTTGATTCCTATTTTTTTATTTTTCTATCTACTTAATAATATTTATTTTCTTTACACATTCTCATTCTGAAAATTATTTTGTCTTACTTGTTTTATTTCCTTACTCAGAAGGAAATGATTAAAAACTCGCATGTCAATACTCCATGCCAATATTCCATGCATATGCAAATGACATTTATTATTGAAATAAAATATTAATCTCGAAGTTTGTTTATATTTCTGAGATGAGGTATTATGTACACTATTTACATTATTCGGACTATTGTCCTCATCTTTGTCGCCATAATTATTACAACGTTTCGGCCGTTGTACGCTCCAGCCTTCTTCAGGTGGTTGGAATGTTGAGCTGACCCATTTATTTCGCTCACTGGGGTAGACTGTTCTAAATGCAGAGGGGAATTAACAGGAGATAACGTAACTGCCATCTATTAAACATGGCATTCGGAACTAGAGCAGTCTACCCCAGTGAGCGAAATAAAGGGTTCAGTGCGACATTCCAACCACCTGAAGAAGGCCGGAGTGTACAATAGCCGAAACGTTGTAATAAATATGGCGACAAAGATGAGGACAATAGTCCGAATAATGTAAATAGTGTAATCTCGAAGTACATTCCTAGAGTAGTTATTTTAATCCTCTCTCGCTAATTTATAATTGTGGTTCGTAAATACATAAAACTTTGAAAAGTAAGACAGGCATTACTATTCAATAATATAATTCTTCTCATTGATAAATGCCGTTTGTTGCTACGATTCTCATAACAGAAGCCATATAATGTTATTTTGTCTGAAACAATAATTTTGTGAATCTCTGGTATGAAGTGAATATACAGGCTTAATGAAGATAATTTCATTATTATTATTATTATTATTATCATTTTTATTTTCTTTGATTTCTGGCGTTTTCACATTTCTTTCCGGGTCCCGTCCAGGGACCTAAGGTCAGAAATGGCGTCATGACACTTTCCACTGACAAAAAAAAAAAAATTAAATTACATAGATAAAGCGCTTCGTAAGGTGTGGGCTGTACTTGTCAGAACAATTTTTTGTATCTCCTTGAGGCATGGACTTCCAGGAATCCCTTCAATTAGTCTACTGCAATCTTTTCCAACCAGTCCTAGGGCTCCAACTACAACAGGGATTGTTGATGTTCCTATATGCCACATTTTCGAGATTTCTATTTCAAGGTCCTTGTACTTTGACAACTTTTTGAATATCTTCAAAGATACATTGCAGTCAGCAGGGACTGCCATATCAATAAGAAGGCACCGTTTTTGTTTGTGGTCTTTAATAACAATATCTGGCCGATTGGCCTTGATTGTTCTGTCAGTGTGTATTGTGTAATCCAATAGAATTGTAACAGGCCCTACCTCCGTAACCGGGTCTGGGTGGTGTTCATACCAGTTTCTTTCAGTTTCCTTCCCGTGGAAGTTGCAGATTTTCCAGTGCAGATATTGGCCCACTCTGTCATGTCGTGTTATATATTCAGTGGGTGCCAACACTGTACAACCTGATACAAGATGATCAATCGTTTCTGGATATTTATCACAGAATCTGCATTTTGGGCTGACACAATATTTTAGTATATGTGCTTGATAATTCCTAGTTAGCAAGCATTGGTCCTGCGCAGCAAGGATAAAACCTTCAGATTATTACTATTATTATTATTAATCAGCCAGTGAAAATTCTTTGTTGGATGTAGGCCTTCCCCAAATCTTTCCCTTTTCTGTTCATCAGGACATTACCATAACGTACTTTTCATAATGACTGCTGCTAGGGGCTTATAGCCCGTGGCATTCTCAAGCAGTCACCCATCTATGTACTGACAAGGCTTAACGTTGTTTAACTTCACTGAACCGGAGTTTCAACGTGATATAGCCGT